AACATTTTAGTTCATAAATAATGCCCATGGAAGATTAAAACACAGTTTTGCAAAGAGATCTCTTTTCGGCAGATCACATCAGGCAAATACAACTACAGGACTGTAAAATGCATTAGTAAACTGGTGCAAGTAACAATGAGGACGGATGGGACGATTTGAACAGTTTTAGTATGTTCATTTGATGCTCGAATCGATTTAATCAGGTGACATCGTGATCGGGCTAACCGACAGCTAAATAACTTGTGTAAACAGAAAGGGCAAAATTACTAACCAAATAAAATTAGTTAATTACGCAAATGAATAGCACCCGGTTAAGCGAGATACTCCGGGGAACCTTATCATCAGGGCCATGGCAAAGTCAAGGGTTGCACGAGCACCCTATGCTTGCATAGCTCTGGTTGTGTTAGCCTGATCGCGATGGCTTCAGCTGTCTGCAGGAGGCGTTTCCTTAGCCCTTTCGGGTATCGCCTCGGTACGGCATAATAGACTTTGAAAGCATCTTTTGTCAGAATCTGATGCCCACTAAGAATCAGATGCTCCATAATTGAGCTGTTGATACTTCTGTGCATGCCTCTCCGCAATGACCCTGGACAATGTTCAGCCATTCGTACCGACAGACGCCTGGTCGTATGCCCGAGGTACTTTGCACCACAGGTGCAAGTAAACTGGTAAACAATGTACGATTCGGAGGTATATGGATGACACTTTCATCATCTGTGATTCGCACATTGATGTCAACCATTTGCTCGACCAGTTCAACAGTGCACACCCCTTAATAAAATTCACTAGTGAAATGGAGAATGAAGGTAAGCTGGCTTTTCTGGACGTTTTGTTGAGGAGGCGCGAGGACGGATCACTTGAGCGTAGAGTCTTCCGCAAAGCTACTTGGGTAGGACAGTACACACACTTTTCGAGCTTTGTCCCTCTGAGGTACAAACGCAACTTAGTACGTTGCTTGAATTACCGGGCCACCAAAATTTGTAGTCCCGAAACTCTCGAAGACGAGAAGGACCGAGTTGTGAAAACACTTCTTGCGAATGGATACCCAGAGCCTTTCATCAAAAAGCATGCCATGACCCGTGAGCGTGATAAGCCCGTAGCAACGGTTCCGAAGAAGGATGTGTTTCTCACTGTTCCTTTTAAGGGAGATATCGCCTTCGATCTCCTGAACAGAAGACTTTCTAATGCCGTAGCAAGAACCTACCCGGCCGCCCAACCGCATGTAGTTGCAGAGACCGCTCCCTTCATAGCTCAACGCCTTAAAGACAGACTGCCAGTGTCGTCCGAATCGTACATTGTTTACCAGTTTACTTGCACCTGTGGTGCAAAGTACCTCGGGCATACGACCAGGCGTCTGTCGGTACGAATAGCTGAACATTGTCCAGGGTCATTGCGGAGAGGCATGCACAGAAGTATCAACAGCTCAATTATGGAGCATCTGATTCTTAGTGGGCATCAGATTCTGACAAAAGATGCTTTCAAAGTCTATTATGCCGTACCGAGGCGATACCCGAAAGGGCTAAGGAAACGCCTCCTGCAGACAGCTGAAGCCATCGCGATCAGGCTAACACAACCAGAGCTATGCAAGCATAGGGTGCTCGTGCAACCCTTGACTTTGCCATGGCCCTGATGATAAGGTTCCCCGGAGTATCTCGCTTAACCGGGTGCTATTTATTTGCGTAATTAACTAATTTTATTTGGTTAGTAATTTTGCCCTTTCTGTTTACACAAGTTATTTAGCTGTCGGTTAGCCCGATCACGATGTCACCTGATTAAATCGATTCGAGCATCAAATGAACATACTAAAACTGTTCAAATCGTCCCATCCGTCCTCATTGTTACTTGCACCAGTTTACTAATGCATTTTACAGTCCTGTAGTTGTATTTGCCTGATGTGATCTGCCGAAAAGAGATCTCTTTGCAACACTGTGTTTTGATGCAAAAGGTTTTGGGAGGGCTTGTGCCGAAGGAATGCCTAATTTACTTGGACGATGTTATAGTCCATGGTAGTTCCGTCGAAGAACATAATGACCGACTGCGCATTGTCCTGCAGCGGCTACGGCAAGCCGGACTAAGGCTGAAGGGTTCTAAGTGCCGATTCCTGCATAGCCCAAGTTACATTCTTGGGTCATGTCATCACAACCAAACGGTATCAAGCACCGACCCCTGGTAAATGTGAAAAGGTTCAATCGTGGCCACGACCTCGTAATGTGGAGGATCTACGAAGCTTCCTGGGACTATGTCTCATATTATCGCAGGTCTATTCGTAAGTTCGCTACCATCTCGGCTCCGCTACATCGCCCGACCAAAAAAGGGCCGACAGTTCCTTTGGACCGATGAGTGTAATCGAGCTTTCACACAACTGAAAGAATGTCTATCATCACCACCAATTCTTGGCCTTTCTGCCGTTTCTGATACAGCGGGACCATTCGTGCTGGATACAGACGCCAGTGCTGACGCGATAGGAGCAGTCTTTTAACAGAAAACAGAAAACGCTAGCCGCCGTCTAGACAAACAAGAGCGCAGGTACAGCACCACCAGACGCGAGTTACTGGCTTTGGTCAAGTTTCTCAGATACTTTCGACCATATCTCATTACTAAAACCGTTTCTGGTTCGAACGGATCACCAATCTCTTCAGTGGCTTCGAAACTTCTGTGACCCTGAGGGACAAGTCGCGCGATGGCAAGAACAGTTACAAGAGTACGAATTCACATGTGAATACCGACCCGGCGCACGACATGCCAATGCAGACGCGCTTTCCAGACTTCCTGCATCGGACGAAGTGAACGCGGTTTTACATGATCTAGAGGTGGGTGAAGCATGGGCCAATGACCAGTCTGATGATCCTTACATCTCCAACATATACATGCGTCAACTGGATGGATCGTCGGAACCTTCTGGGATCGAAATGCAATCTTGCTCAGCGGAAGAACGTGCGCACTGGAGACATTGGGGTAGTTTGAAGGCCATCGGTAGAGTTTTGTATTTGCTGGATAAGTCTGGTCCGAAACTTATTACTCCGACGGTGCGAATACCACCTGTTTTACAGAAAGTTCACAATGAGTTAGGCCACGCGGGTCAGAGGAAGACGGAAGCTGCTGTTCGCCAACGCTATTGGTGGCCGGGGATACACGCCGAGGTTACCAAGTTCCTCAACGAATGCGACATTTGTACTTCTGTGAAGTCACCTGCAACCGTACCGCGAGCTCTTCTGAGGCACCGGGTCAACGCAGTGGTGTAGATCTGATGGGAATCGACACGTTTTAGTCCTCGTCGACTACTTTACGAAGTGGTGCGAAGCAGTTCCAATCAAACAACGCGATGCAGCAACGGTCGCATCCGCTTTTGTAAACGAATGGGTTGCTCGATATGGCGCCCCATTGTCACTTCATTCAGATGAGAACGCTGCTTTCGAGAGCCAACTGATGCGCGAAGTTTGTCGGCTGCTCTCTATCAGGAAGACGCAGACTACACCCTATCACCCCCAGG